CCCCTTTCCTCCTTTCCCGCCCCGACTCTCTCCACCCAAACGTAAATCTAACATCAAAGGAGATGCCCGACCGTCCCCCTTCCCTCCCTGCTCCCCGCCCTTCTCCTCGGCTTTGGGGCTTCGCCCGCTCTCCCGGCCGGAGGCTGGGAGACGGTGCGCTGGCTGTACCCGATGTGAGCGCAGTTAGGCCCTACTGCTGCTGCTGTGGTAACAACAGGGCTTGTTGTTACAACTTCTCTTCACATCGAGTTTCGCCACTCACGTTCCCTGCGATGATGCTACATACTCCATCAGCCTAGATGATTTTTAGCGTAGACAATTGAACGGGTGTATACAAAGTGCAAGCAGCATGCAGAGTAAATACAAAGGGTTCCAGGAAATAAAAGTCGACTTATGTTGTTCGCGTGCCTTTTCCTATACCCTTAGCCACAGCCGTTTTGCAAACGCGAACATTTCCGCAGCAAAGAAACACCCCATCCGCTTCTCGCCCCGCCCGGAGGAGCCCCCATCCGGTTCCGCGGCGCGCCCCGCCCGACGTGTCGCGGGCTGCGCACTTAGGCCCCGCGAGGACGGCGTGGGCAGTGCACCATACTGCATGTGCAAGCGAGCCGTGCATTCGGCACACACCCATAAACTGCGAACCAAGCACGCCGTCGGAAGTCCAGTTAAACAATTGCAATCAAAAACAAATAAGGAATAATTCCGGACAGATTTTTCCTTCCCTTGTAAAAAACGTCTTTGCCTATTTCCTGTAACCGGGGAGTGTGTTACGCACTTGAACCGTGGTCACCAGAGCTTGCCCCCCTCTCCCCGCCGTTTCCCCCGCACCCCTCCCTCACGTCACAACACAACCGAGCGCCACGCCACGGCCAGAACGCGGACTCGCGACATGCGCGCGCGCCTGTGTGTGCGCATGTGTGCGTGTATGTGTGTGAGTGTGTGTGTGTTTGTGTCCCCCTCCCCTCCTCGTTTGGTATTCCCTCAGAACACGGCAGCACCGGCGGACGGGGGAGGCGGATGTGGTCGTGTGGAAAAAGTGAGAGGGCCGAAAATAGGGGAGAAATTGACGCTATTTGTCGTGACCTGCGAGGGGTCGAGGGGTCGTTGCCATGGCCTTAGGTATACGTTACACATGAGACCGTCCGTAAACGGGCATCGCATGGAAATTGGATTGGAGGGAAACTATTGCTATGAATTGATTTTCGGCTAGGTAGGAGTTGGAGCGAGAGGTAAAATGAAGAGCGAGCGAGAGCCGCGAGAGAGCGACAGAGAACGAACGAAACAAAGAGAGCAGAACAAGAGGGGGGGTTTGCTGAGAAGAGGTACGAAGTAGGGGATGAATGAAAGGGCGAGAGGGAGGGGGGGGAG